GGGGGGGGAGGGAAAAAACCCATGAGAAGAAAAATACTGCTCTCCTCTATGGACTGAGGAAACACACCAACCACAGATGCTTCCTCAGCCTGATGAAGGGTATTTATACCCTAAAGCTAGCAAAGAAGCATTTTTCCAACTATTTGAGTTGGTTTAATAAGAGATATCAGGCCCAAAAGAACCTTGTCTGCTTATGTCCTTAGACGGACATGGCAAGACTGCCGACTTTGTGGCCAAGATGCCAACTCTGGCAGAGTATCAGCTGCTTTGCAGGAGGCCCAGGCCTTCATTGGCCAAGGCAGTGTCCCAAGGCCCAGCCAGTAGAAGGCATCAAGTCCACCCTGCTCCTCATGGGAACTCATTAATTCTCAGTGCACTTCCAGGACAGGGAGAAGCAGGGGCAGGGTTTCTCTCCTGGGGAAGAGGTTTGGAGATGTTAGGCACATCTGGAGAGACAGACCTGGGGCAACCATGATGGATGCTGCTGGTCAGGTTCATGGGTACTAAGCACATGATACTGCAGTCTCTGCTACGCTAGCAGTAACAGGGCACCCAGGAAGGGGCTAGTCAAGGTGCAGACTGGGTCTCCCCATACCTTGGCTACACTTGCTTTCTTACTGGATGGCTGGCGCTTGGTGGCTTTTTGGGGAGACTCCTCCTGAAATGATTCTTCTTCGTACTCTTCTTCTTCTTCCTCCTCCTCCTCCATCCAGGAGTCATCTGGGACCACTGCAAAGAAGAGCTGGCCTGGATCAGAGCACGGGGCACAGATCAGGGCATTCCCTGCCTCCTACTCCACTCCTAGGAGCAGGTACCCAAGACATGGGATGCCAGCCAGCCAGCCCCTGAGCCAGCAGTGGCCAGCCATCATGCTCTGGTGCTGTATAGACCAGAAGAACCAAGTTACTAATAGCAAGACTCCCAGGTCCCCCAAGGTAACAGCAGCTCCTCCCCAGGGCACATATCAGCTACCCCTCCCAGGAAGGGAGGACAGTCTATGGTCCAGACATGTGAGCAGCACAAAAGTCCCTGCTCCAGCAGCAGGGTGTAGCATACATAGGTGGGGGCTTTACTGCATTCCCATCATGTAGAGGTGGCAGTGGCCAGCTGGCTATAGTATTCTCTCATTTGGTTGAAGCAGAGGAGACCCAGCAAGTATTGCAGTCACCAGAACCAACATACACTGCATTGCCCTAATGCCAGTATTGGCCAGACTAAACCCCGCTGCACCCACACTTACAATTAATGTGCTGTCCAGTGATGTAGACTGGGCCAGAGCCAGCTCTCAGCCGGAAGGTGACGGGAGGCGTCAGCTCAACTCCCACCATGGGGGCCTGGAAGAGACAGCAGCGATGCCATGAGGGTGGGCTGATGGCAGGTTATGCCCTGAAAAGCTATGGTTGGAGACCAGTTGGCTTTGAAGGCCTAATGGGACTTTGTATCAAGTCCCAAAAAGCTGAAGACTGCATGGCAGTGCTCACCCCTCATGTGCTATCTTCCTCAAAGGGCTGTTCCCTCCACATTTCAGCATGCCTACACACCAAGTTAGCACTTCAGCTTGCTCAGACCTGGGCTTATCAGTGACCTGCTCTCCATCTCCAGGAGTCATCTAGATGCTCGATTCTGACCCAGCTTCCGGCCTGAGTAAATACCAGCCCAGGCCACACCCCCGCCTCTCACCATTGGCAGCACAGAAGGCTTCAAGGCAGCTAGGACTACAGGGCTTGGGTCCTGGCTGTCCTCTGGAGGGATGATCTCTATGATGTTGAGCTCATCATTGGTTTTCTCCCCCACACAGATCTTTGGAGAGAGAAGAACAAGCCTTTAGCACCGTGTTATCAGTGGTGACAGCCTCTGCTCAGAGTGTCCCCCAGCTTGACATGCCCAAGGCCAAATGGGCTTCCTTCACTGCCTGGTGAGAAGAGACTTGTACTCTCATGGGCACATTGACAATGACAAGACTCCACTTGCAGTCCAGAAGGATGGTATTGGAGAAGCCAGACCCTCTGCTTCACCCTATTCTGCAACTGGCTTTTTACAAGACAGGCTCCCATCCCATACACACCTCCCACCCCCACTTCAAAGCCAGTCACAAGGGCCCTGTCCCAAACATCCTCTGTGGGAGAGGATGGGCTAGGCACCTACCATCCGCAAGGCCAGTTGCTGCTCGTAGGCCCAGTCATCTGGCATCTTGAAGGTGCAGGTTGTATTCTCTGCGCTCAGTTCACAGCCTGTGGAAGGGGGAAGAGATCAGCGATTAAAAAAAGAAATCAGATCATTAAGGCAGCTCACCCCACCTCCTGCATCACATGCTCAGCGTGAGTTTCACAGCACAGGCTTCTATCAAGGGTGGGATGTCTCAACAGGTTGTGCTCGCTATCCCCCCCAGCAAAGGGGACTAGGAAAGGAGAAGTGTTGGGAACTGCAAAGTGTCTCTGTACTCCCCCCACCCCAATCTCCAAATGGCTTCTCAGCCTAGGAGGCAAGAAACCCTGCCCCTCAAAGGGTCTTTTCACTTATGTTCCTGCCTGGTAGACAGCATTAGAAGCAAAGATATCATGCCACAGAGCTGCCACTGCCGCTGCCATTGGCCAACATGAGCCAAGGAGACGGTGAAACACATCCACTTTGTGGGGGAAGGAAGGAGACAAGAGAAAAAGAGCAACTGGATGCACTCCAGCTAGCCTTGCCCCAGACCAAGCTGAGCATCTACACCTCAGCTGAAGGTGGACTCCGCATAGCATGTCTGGCAATGCAGCGTGCTCCAGGGAGCAGGCCCTTAGCCCCATCTCACTCCAAGGATTTGTTACACCTCTGAGAAGCAAAAGATACTAGACACCTCAGAGGCTGCACTTTATTTTAGCCAAGACCCGAGCGACTCAGAAGCCACCAAGATTTAGCTCTCAAAAAGACTCTCCATGGAGACCCCTCATTATTGCTGAAGCCTTTCTTTATAGGAGTAGGTGGAGGTTGCAAGTAGGGAAGATCTGAACAAAAAACAAAACAAGACCAAAAACAACCACAAAAGAAAAAAAAAAGAAATCCAACCCCCCCCCAGCAGATTTCTGGAACAGAAAAGGCCGTTATGGGAGAGAGGACTGGGAGCAACAGCTTTAAGCAGTGTTAAGGAGACAGCAGAAATAACCTGAGCACTGATCACCAAGCACTTCTCAGACACTCAGGTGCAAAGCAAGCAGCTTCTTACCCCAGATCAGAGATATGGGCTTCTCCGATTTACTGTCACTGTTGATACTGTTGGTAAGAGCCATTGTTTCCAGAATCTACCTTTTCCATGAAAAAAAAAAAAAAGAAAGGCACCATTACTCAAAGGAGTCTCTATTCAGCTGGAAAGGCTTTGCAATGACAGAGCAGCAATTGCATCTATGAAGGTGGGGGGTCATCTCCTGGTTTAGTTCAGTTAGGAAGCTGGATTTTCCTCCTCTGCACAAAACTAGGAGAACATGAAGTTGTTACTCATAAGTGTCCCTCCTGTGATTGCTCTTAGATGCTACCTACCATCCTTCCTTCACCCCAAATATTAGAGCTGCAGTTTGAGAGCTCAGGAACACAAAGCTCCCATTGCCCAATTTCAATCTTTGTCCTATGTAAGTGGCTTTCTGAGTTATTGTTACCTACTGCCTCTGACCACATCTCTGCTGAAGAAACCAGCAGAACAGCCCCTGTAAAAAAGCATTTTGGGGAACAACATGGAGTAACCAACCTCATGCATCCTTCTCACTTAAGGACTCAAGTCATACAAATGATCAGAAAATGCTTTAAAGGGGAAAAGCAGAGTTTACTGATATTTATGCTTAACAACTCACTTCCCCAACATAAAACTGCATGCAAATCACCAAAGAAAAACCCCTCTACACAGAAAGGGGCTATGAATACAACCACCTACCCCAGCAAGCAGCTCATATAAAAAAAACAACCCTACATAAAAGACCTAACCAACCCTGCATACAACCATCCTCTGGACCAGGCATCTTATAAAGGCAGAGCAGGTGAGCCGCTCAACCATTCATTCAATTAGCCTCACCTTGCTGAAATTTGGTCTTAAAGGGAAACAGCCCTTTCTCTTCAAAGACAGGAGATTCCTTCAAAGGGAGGAAATTCGGCCAGTGGAAACACAGTCGTGATTGCTATCATCCAGCACTTTCTGTAGTACAAATGTGAAGTTAAACCCACAGATCCAAGGTTCGGCTATTCCAAGACAAATGGGTAGAGAAACCCCCCATTAAGTCTGGGAACCAAGGTCTGAGAATACAGAAACCTGAAAGGTAGGGCTATACAAAGTCCTCCCAGGGGTGCCCAGGGCATCCCAGCACTTATATGTCTAGCTTAGAAAAGAGTCAGATATATGCAGGCAGTGGAGCTGTCTGCAGCTCTGACGGGCTTGGTCTGTGCAGTGGAATCGATTAGGCACCGAACTGGGACTCAGGAGCCTTGAGTGCCATCTTTGGCTCTGCCACTGAGCTGCTGGACAGTCTGGAGTCATCCAGTTCCTTCCTCTATGCCTCAGTTTCCTTTTCCCCCCCGGCTGTCCGTCTAGTTGGACTTTAAACCAAGCAGGGCCGGACACCTCCATACAGACCCTGGAGCAACAATCTCAGTTGTAACCCTGCCATTCCACAAACAAATGGCAATGACCACAATCCCTTGGCGTGGCCGGCTCCGGGGGCCTTGTGGTTTTGTTTGCACATACACGTGTCAACTGGGCTCTCATTGAGAATGGGGCTGGGGCAGAGACCAAGGGTTTTGGGGCGGCCCCCGGAACAGGGCCTGGCTGGGGCACAGCCTGGGCTTGTGCAGTGTGGTTTGGCAGCCATGCAGTGCAGTGTGAGAACTGCACAGTAGTTTTTGGGAGCCCTGCAGTGCAGCGTGAGAGCTGTGCAGTGCAGCACAGAAGCTGTGCAATGAGGCATGGGAGCCCTGCAGTGGTTTGGGAGCCCTGCAGTGCAGCATGGGGGCGATGCAATGAGGTGTGGGAGCCGTGCAGTGGTTTGGGATCTATGCAGCGCAGTGTGGGAGACTTGCAGTGGTTTGGGAACCATGCAGTGCAGCATGGGAGTAATGCAACGCAGTTCGGGAGCCATGCAGTAGAGTGCGGGAGCCCTGCAGTGCAGCGTGGGAACTGTGGAGTACAGCGTGTGAGTCATGCAATCAGGCGTGGGATCTGCGCAGCGATTTAGGAGCTGTGTAGTGCAATGTGGGAGCCCTGCAGTGGTTTAGGAGCCCTGCAGTGCAGTGTGGGAGCTGTGCAATGAGATGCGGGAGCCGTGCAGCACAATGTAGGAGCCATGCAATGATTTGGGAGCCATGCAGCACTGCGTGGGAACGGTGCAATGTAGATTGCGAGCCTGCAATGAAGCGAAGGAGCTGTGCAGTACGGTGCGTGCAAGGCAGCACGACCCAGGGGCGCAGCGCATGCGCACCCCCTCCCCTCCCCTGAACGCCGGCACAGGCAGCTTCCGGCGCGGCCGGAAGCGAACCCCCGGAGCAGGCGGGGCAAAGGTCAGGGGTCACAGGCAACATGGCGGCTGCCGGCGGCGGCCTGGGCGCCCTGGTGAGGCCCGGCGGGGCTGGGG